AAACTGCTGAAGGCCATCGAACATGATGCTTCTGCACATGTCAAATCATGCATCCTGGTGCCTGTGACGCTGTCAACTTTGTCCAAACTATTGGCTATGCGTCGTTCCCTTTTTGATGACTTCATTGAGCGACACTGCATCATGGATGGCGATATTGTCGTTGGCATTTGACGGGGTCTACAAGCCACGACGAGTTCATGCAGGTGTGGCACACCGTTATTCAAGAGAATGGAATTGCCCAGCAACCGGAAATCATAAGTAGAGTTCCAGCCTGTCGCGCATGCGCATATCAGTCAAACCTGAATCGAACCTTTGTCAAACTTTTCGCAAGAGGCTAGAAAAAGTTGAATCTGGTCAAACTCAAAACTCAACCAATTACACTGATACCCGACAACTTTTTTACTTTCTAAAAGCACGGCACAGCCCATCACCTACAAGCATGAGTGCACGGATCGATTTGTTACCACAGGAAAATATGTTTGCTGGGTCTATTTTTTTTTAATTTATGCAAGTTGTAAAAATTAGGTGCTAGTGGAAATTAAGTCATTTACAGTAAATAGCTTTTAGTCATTGCAAAGCCACCCAGCAGTTTGCTTGTTCCATCTTGGTTGCCTGCCTTTTATGTCACAGATTGGTTTAAATAGAGCAAAAGCCATATCACACTATTATTGAGAAAGATATCACCATAAAGGTCTTAGTCATGTCTCATTACAGTGGGCTCTTCCATTGGCGCAATACATTTTTCGCAATGAGCTGATGACAGCCGCTAACATCAGCTCGTAAAAAAATTCACAATAATAAAAAAAAAACATTACTTCACTGCTTTCCTGAAACATCCGTTATTGTGGTTCATTACTTCTGAATAAAAATTAAATTGTAGTTGTAATTGAAGCACATTTTAGCCACTGCAATTCCAAAATACAAATTACAATGGGCACAACAATTTTTTTTTCCCGCACTGAGGCTTTTTTCTATGAATTCACGAACAGATAGAAACATGCACACAATCTGGCTCATTGCCCTTCTGTCAAACCATGGGGTTTCATCACAAACACACATGCCGTCATTCACAGGACAAATATGCACCTGATAAAGTTAAGTTGCCAGGATGGCGGGGAACCATGAAATTGGTGCAAATATGATTTACGCATTGAATATGGCAACTATACACCGAAATTGTCATAAAATCTCACCAGAACATCCAGCTTGTCTTGCGAGGCAGCGTAAGCGTTGACCTCCTTGAGGCCGTCGTACGTGCTTGCAGGGAGCGTGGGGGCGTCTGGAGGCAGCGCGACTGCTACCTTCGTGGCTGAGGTAGCCACGACACTCTTCCTTAGCTCGGTAAGCTGCGTGATGATGTTGGCCTGGTTCTCCAGGACCAACACTTGGAAAGCTGGAAAAAGAACATATAGACCCACATGCGGCCCTGAAGTCACGCAGCTGCAATGGCGCTGTTGACAGCACTGCGCATGCGCAGACTTTTCACCTCACGCAAATTTGGTTTCTGTGCACGCGCAGTACCCACACCTGGTGTGGGGGAACACACGTGCTTGTTTGTAAACAGCGTGTCGGTCTATATTTACCACTTTACTATTTAACACCCATTCTTCTACAATGCATGAAAATCAAAGTTTAATTTCACTGTAATCCCAATTTCGGAAAATTGAAAATAAAAATAAATGCCATTTGGGCATAAATGTCTGCTAAATTCAAAAGAACGTGCCTGTATCAAATGATATTTATTCGGCTGGGTTTGGCATTCGCGTCTTTGCCACTGTTAACACCGCAACTCTACCATGACAAAAGTTACACAGAAGTGTTGCTGGAACAGGCATTGATACTCTAAAATCACTAGAGACCCAGATGTAGTCATTTCCCATCCATTTCACCCTGTGGCTGCATGAAGTGCAGTACTGATAGTGACAGCTCCCTTCCCCCCCCCCCCCTCCCAGACACATGCACACTGTCCCATAAAATCTACTGGTTCATACTTTTTACTTCTATAAAAACCAAAACCTTCCCCCCCACTAAGGAGCACAAAGAGTATGGCTCAAACTGCAAACGGGAACAGTGGCTTTTGTCGTGACCCAGAGGTATAATAACCAGTTGTCCTCAACAAACCTAGACAAGATAAACAATAAAACGTCTTTTGTCAACTATCAGAGATTCGAAAAAAAACAGGAATGACCTCTCCTTGGGAACAGTGACCTTGTGTTGTGACAAAACTCAGTTACAGAATACAGATGTAAACGTTAAAAGGCGTGAACTGAAACAGGACGAAAAAAGACACGTACGACAAGGACAAGCACCAAGTTTCAACCGATTTAATATAACACCAAACGTCGGCAAACTGTCGATCCCCATCAGATATATACACCGCCATGCAACAAGATAAAGGTTCCTATCACTCATCGCATGCAGCCACCAAGAAAGACAACTTCTTTTTTCAGCAGATAAAGGAAAGGCATGCTTACGCATTTGTTTTTTTCTTTTCCTTTCCTTTTTTACACTGGGACATCAAAAGTGTGAGTTTATCGGATAAATCTAATTTTATAAAATTTTATTGGCAAATGTTTGTTTGAGTTTTTCGGTTTTATCCGAAATCACGGCATGCTAATTATGTCCCACTAGCCATATAACTCGCCTGTACAAACCGAATTAGTGTACATTGCACAGCTAAACAGGTCTGTTTGAAGTAAAATCAAACACATTGTCTATTGCTTCCTTGGTGTGCCGGAAGTGTGATGAAAATAAGTTGCAATAGCAGAGGGCATACATGCATCTGAACTTTTTTTTTACATGTGTTCACATAGTCCAAGATTTCCTAACATATGTGAAAATACAGCCAATTTTTAATGCTCACTGTGGAATATTTACATAAATGCTCATGAAAGATGTGTACCAGCGTGTAAACGTTTTTCACGTAGGTTTATTATTATCGAATGGGGATATTTACGTATACAGGCTGATGAAAGACATTGACCAGCATGTAAATGTTGTTTACGTAGGGTGATTACTATCCAATGTACTTTGTCTTAAGGCCATCATCAGGGTATGCATTAAAGGTGTGCATTAAACACGGTGCTAGAAAATAGTGACGCCGGGCACTGATATAATACTATACCCGTGCCATGCCAAGTATCATAAATTGTGTCCAGCACTCCAGAGATTTCGCTGTGATAATGATCCTGAATATGGATATTACAGGAAAGACGTTCCTCAAAAAGAAAACACACAAAACAGCTGGTGCCATGTTTTGCAGCAGCCTAAATGTCAAGGGTGAGAGGCCCTACTACAGTGTAGACCGCATATAACGTATGTCGCGGGAGTCGCGAAAATCCGCACTATAAGCGGTACCGCGTTATAACCAAAACATCAATTTTTCAGGCCAAAATACATGCCATGAGACAACTTACCCTTGTAAAAGAATTTATTTTATGTTCGATGAAAAATAAAGCTTAGTTTGAGGAAAGTCTTTATTTCACCAGACTAGGACAGTTATGTCTCAAGTGTGTCACACATTTTGAAAGAAATTAGCGGCTTTTGCCTGGCGCAGCCTTTTAACGGCGTCGCGGGTTGCAGACGGACGTTGCGAGCGTTCAGGATTGCTAACCCTAATCACTTTTCTCCGGAGATGAAAACGCGTGAAAATTCGCATCCTTCATACGGTACGCGCCAGTAATACCTTGAACTTTAGCACACGCATGAAATGCGCCAAATAAGAAATCCGGGCGATGTTTGAGGTCACAAATGCTTAGAAATCACCACTGTAGTCGAAGTAAACAAACACGACGACACGGGCGTTTCTGCGGTCTTGAGAGCGCCGCCACGGCATCGCTGCACGAGTAGGTGGGTCTTCCCTTCTAGTACGTGCTGGGTTATCATAGCGACACACAACGAAAATTCACAGTCAAGGATAGCGCTTTTACGCAGAACAATGAGATGAACTCCGTCTACGACGACGATCACAACCGACACCATGTTTACGGAGAAGCAGCCGGCCCGCGACCGGTACGCAACGCGCGCGAACACTTCTCCTCGATCTGCGATTGGTCTGTCGGTGCGGTTGTTTGTTTCTTTGTTTCCAACGCAGCGGAGGTACGCATGCACGTGAACGACACGTGCGTGCGTCCCTCTGTCGCTACGGTGGCTACGGCGACTGAAACCTCTCTCTTCGCTTCTCCCCACTTCTTCGAGCAACATCCTCGCCCCGCGCCGTCAGCGCCGTTATCTAGTGTCGCACAAGGAAGCGTGCCCGCTGCTCCGGTCGTCGGCGCGGTCGGCGGGCTGTGCCAAAAACCGCACTATAGCCGGTATTTCCCTTCGCGCGCCTGCATTTTAAGCGGTATGTAAATACATGAAGTTCTATGGGAGGCGAACCGGTGGTTTAAAAAAACCGCGTTATACCCGGTCCTGCACTATAAGCGGTTACGTTGTAAGTGGTCTATACTGTACATATATTATACTTCCTCAAATAAATTCTCCCTGGCAAGGGCAGCAGCTGTGGTACAACTGAACTAAATTTAATAATTTATTTTTGCTCGAAATAATGAACAAGATTACTTAATCGAGGGTTTGGAGTTAGAAATGGCACTGACCTCAATATTTTCAAAGTACACCTGTAAACAATATGTAAGGCTCATAACATATGCAGCTAACATTAGAACATATGCAATAAAAGATGTAGTGCTATCACATCCCCAGCAAAAATTACAATAATAAACCAGTAAACTGATAGACCAGTAGATTCCTATTGTAAAAAGTAGGTGGGTCCTATAGTACCGATAGAGGCCCATTGGTGTATTGGTCAAATAGAGGACTACTGGTGTATTGGTTTATTAGAGGCCTATTTGTGTGTTTGGTTCAGTAGAGGCATGTTTGTGTATTGGTCCAATATCGGCCTACTGATGTATTTGCCCTTACTGGGACATTCTAATGGGCTACATCAATGGGCCTCTACTAGCACATTCTAATGGTGCCTGGAACATGTTCTCGAGTGCTATGCTCATCGTCACTTTATTTTAGTTCCCTCTATCTTTGCCTGACAACGTCATAGAAGTGTCATGCTGTTCCATGCCACGATCCTGGTGGTGGTAGAGCAGCAGAAGGCGGGTGCGGTAGGCCCCTGTTGTGCTGTAGCTCGTCTCCAGCTTGATAGTCCATGGAAGATTCAGCAGCCAGGAGTTGGGACGCTACAAGAGCGACACTTGTGTTTCCTATTATTCGCTGGAACACATAGGGCCAACCATTAGGATTGCGACATAACACAGCATCCAGCTCGTGCGACATAATTTGTCACCATTTTGGGGCTACCTTAAATGCATAAGCAGCATAGGATGGCCAAAGACAGCAGTCACAAATGCATTCAAGGCACTCTACTATAGGTTGTTTGCGCATGACGTCAATCCGCCATTTTGTTGTTAGTTTGGTTTTTGAAACAAATTTACTACATTGAAGGATTACATCGTAACCGGTTGAAATGATGTCAGCGGTGCTCTACGCATTTGAGAAGGCATGTAAATCCTTGAAATGCTCGAGTTTGGCACATTCCACACAGATCGCAACAACAAAATGGTGGACGAAATCACGTCAGTGAAAACACCCTATACACTGTTCATTATGACTACTTTGCATAAACATTTTCAGATATATCCAGTGAAAACGATACAGTGCACAACTGTACAGAACATGCATAAACATACCACAACCGGGCAATAAAAATGGTGTTTTCGTCATTAAACTCAAAAGTGGTAAGCAAATGTAGTGTTCAAGATGACTGAAAACATTTGCAATAAGTTAGCTATTTCGTAAATTCTCATAGTAACAAAAAAAAAATAAACATAAAAAGATAATGCATTGCTTTGTTTGCTTGTCATAATGACAATTGGTATGAGGTCTAAAGAGAACAGCCGTACACTTGTTGCAATGAAATTGACTCAAACTTGAAACTGGTAGACGAAGGTAACATTTTTTGTGAGAATGAATATTGCACTAAACATGTTTCTAGAGCAAATGTACAGCCTACTTCACTCGCTTCTATTACAGTTTATCTAGCGTGCCAAATTCTCTCCTGATGGTGCGACACACAGACTCCCACACCAACATTACCACCAGCCAGTGTTCTTCTGCAATGCGCAAGTGGTACATTACTGACGGCGCACATTGCACAGACGTCAGTAAGAATCGGTGCATACAGCTCACCTCCAAGGACAAGACAGGCTTGACAAAAAAAAAATGCATGTTTATCTGAGCAGGCCTGGCAATCGAGTGCTACCCTTTCACACGCTCTGAGCCAGCTAATGTCTTTCTCCTTTACTTGTCCACATGTCACACAACTCGTCAATTTGATGAGATGAAATCAACTCTGGTCATTTTTTCCAATACAGAGGGTGGCCACAATTTTAATTGATTCACCAGATGAACCATTGTATGTTGTTTTAATGGGCCTAAATTTTAAATTTTTTTGAAAAAATTCATTTTTTGATTTTAAGGTTTTCAGTTTTAGAAACTAATTATACACCTTTACACCAAATTTGATGACCATACGCCAAATAGTTACGTTGATATAAAATATTTTCAACGCATTGTGAGGCAGTAACAAAGTACAGGAGCTCAATGTTTGAATGCATTTTTCTCAGTTCTACTTTTTGCTGCAAATTTCATACGAAGGAATCTTTTGTTCGAAGGTGAAAGTATTCTGTTACCACATTCAAGATGTTTCTGAACTGAAATTTACTCAGGAATCGGGCTATCTACTTTATTTTGTTTTAAGTTGAAGTCCTCAGTGAGAAAAAACATAAGTTTTCAAAAATTGACAGATGACAGATATGCATCTCATAGTTTGAGGTAATAACTCTTTCTGAAATATTTACATTTAAGTTATTGAAACTAGATAGCCTGAGGTCCCATATCCCCCACTTTATATTCAAGCAGTCAAAATGGTGCTTAATAGCTTGATTTGCATATCATAGATTCCTTAATGAAAAGTGACACATCATCTTATGCAGGTATGTAAATTTGTCCTAGAGAGCTGAAAGTTTGCACAGTACACCTACATCTGAAGCTAAATCTCCCCTGCAAATTTCATTCCGATCACTTGAGTAGTTCAAAAGTTTGACCTCTAGCCAATGTCCCCCCTTAAGTTTCAAAAACAAGCTCCATGGGCAACAAAAAACATCCGATTGCCTGGTATTCCACTATGATAGGTGACATCAGCCACCTCACCCAATTTAAGGTGGAAACCCCAGGCTTCGGCGAATCCAGCCACACAAACGACGTCAAATCTGTCAGTCCCAAAGCCACTGCATTACAGTGCCCAGTAAGGTGTATTCACCCTCCTCCCACAGCACCCTAGGGAAGTATTTGGTTGCACTATTTTTAGGCATAAAAGAGATTAGAAAATATGAAGATACAATTTAAGCTTACCGTGAAATTCTGAGCAAGTGTCCCCCCCAACTTCACTGCCAATTTCACATTTCCTCGCTGTTCCGGGAAAGCGCCCCCCTCCCCGCACCACACCCGTATCACGTACCAGCCTGATTGTGCCCAGGCAACACTGGCCTGCGAAATTCAGTCCAAGAATCCAATCCAATCCTACTTTGCAGCCCTATCTGCCCGGTCGCCATGCACCACTGTCGCTTTGTTTTGGGGTTGTCAGGTCGGCTATGCATTCTTTCACAGCGGCAAAGAAAATTGAGGTCGTCCAATGGCATTGTGAAAACGGGAAAAACATACACCTGACGTCTCGACACATCAAGCTCTACCGGATACGGGAATGGGACAAGAATTTTGAAAATTTGCTACAGCCAAACTACCAGAAAGTCAAACTTCGACGAAAGCTAAGTAACGGCACGCCGGTGTACAGAGAAAACGTGGAGGATGCACTCATACCTCGAGCGCGAAAGAAGTGCAGAATGAGCCATTGGCAACCGGCTTCTTTCTGAAGAGGTTGTCAAAATAGCCAACGGCACATAGTCTGCGGAATGCTGCAAACTTTTTCTTGTGACAGACTCTGAGGAGTCTTTTGGTGGTTTTGAAAGTGATTAACATAGCAGTGACAAATCTTTGGCCTAATAAAGTCTATGTTCTCAGAGATAAATAAAATACTAAATCCGTGTACACTGCGCTTTTTTTTTTTTTCTTTTTCTGGTAAAAAAATTTTGTCGTTGCCATCTTGAATTTTGGTGCTCTTTCGGGATAGAGCTCCCCCCCCCCCCCAGCCTAATTGCTAGTCGGGAGTGATTTTCGCAGGGGGTTCTACGCATGTGCATTCTTGACTTGCATATACAGTCACTGTTTACAGCTAAAAACGCGTTGCGGTTTGCCACAGCTGCTTCCACTGATTCTTCTTTTCGGCTGTAATGCAAAAAGCGGATATGGTGTGATAATCCTATGTGCCGCTACTGCATGGCAGGGTTGTTGCACCCTTTGTTTCGATATCAGCTCTCCTCACTTTGATACTTCATTTATGCCTAACAGCATTGGCATCGCCTGACTGGGACTTCTATTCAAGAAATACGATATCGATAGAGCGAGGTCACTACTGGCATTTTAAAAGAAAAGGACCAAGGGTAAGAAAGGACAGAAAAAAAGAGAGGTATCGTTTCGAACAACCACTGGCTAGTTGGAATCAAAAATATGCCAAACAAAGTACGGTGACATATTGATGGATGCAGCATGTCACTCGGCACAGGCAAGTCATTTTGCGGTTCGTGCGGATGCTGATGAAGTTAAAAAGGAAATTATTTTATTTTCTAAACTAGAAGGATAGTTGTGTCGTGACTACTCATTCCTAATGTTTCACCTGACAGGCACAGATTGACGGCTCCTTTCTCTCCGCTTTCGGCCCCTGAGCGAAGAAAAAGCAGCCGTTGATTCCTTGCCCACCAGGCTTTAAAGATGACCAACGAAACCATAATCCGCAAGGTAGGAAAATGTCCCTCGCGCCCTCCTCTTGTCACCCTCTCCGAAAAATTATGTGACGGCAGGGGCTTCTTTTGTGTCGACTTTTTCTGTAGGGATAATCCTCAAAAAGCGCGAAATGAGCAGCTAGCCGCGAGCGCCACAACGACCTTGAGACGTCCAGGTGTCTTCCCTCGTCGACGCGGGCACGCTCAATCCGCGAGATTGAGGAAGCCAGCACGACCGAACGCTTTCTCTCATGAGCTGCAGGTCCGAGGCCGCTCGGTCGGTGGAGATCGAGGGGTCGTGGCGGTATGCTGGGTTCGTACCAGCAGCCGCTCGCTGGCATCGCGCGGCTGATGGAACCGTTCCCGTGTCTGCACAAGGATTGGCTTGCGCAACAAAAGGTTCAGGTCGTCGATAATACATTTATTTCCCAAACTTATAAATCAAGTGGCTTTCGCTAATCTCTTTATTACTGTTTGAAACACATCTCCTCTCATAGGTTGTTCATCCCATTTTGGACTCTCTCGCGTATTTATTCGTCCTTACCTCTGCCTGATGACTGTTTTATAACTTGATAAAGACCTTTAAATATTTGCGCGGGCTTGCGCGATGAACGCTGTCCCGGATTTAATATTGGAAAGATTGGCGTCAGGAGGGGCTAAACAAGCAAACCGAAATTCTTGCTTCTAATGAAGACGGCACGATCATAAGATAGGTCTTTGCTTCACTTGCCTCCACAATGCCCCATCGTTTGCTCTATTGCAACTTCTCAGTAACATAGCTGTATACCACATTTTACTCATGGTTACTATACATGTGGCCCTACAGGCTTTCCCGTTATGGGCGAGTCGACATTTTAAGGACCGGCGACTCTCCTAAGTGAGAATAAATATGATCACCTTCCCACTACATCCACCCCTTTCTCTCTCTCGCCCCCCCCCCCCCCCCCCTTTCCCGAGTTTTGGAGATATCAGGCCACTCCAGGAAGCAGCCTGCAGACGGCGTTTTTTGGCTACTCATTCTCAACACATTCAAACGTGGAAGTAAACACATCGCATGATTGACGCCCAGTTTATTTGCAACCTAAATAATGGGGCTCCACTGTTGGGACCCAATCAATTTCATCATCAATCATTATTTGTTACGATTTCATGGTGAAAGTGTGTTCGTCGTGATTCCACAAAAGTGATGGATTCAAAGGGAGAAATAGCTCCTCGTATTTATTTTGCAGAAATACTCGCTCCTGTGACGCTCTAGTGCGTAAGGTCAAAGCACCCGAGGCACTGCGTAATACTTTAACAACTGTCGTTGACAATGAA